ATTTATCTTGTCTCTTTTAAATGGCTATATTAGAAGTTTTTAAGTTAAAATATAATTGATATAACTCATTAGCATTATTATCTTAGTACTTTTTCATTTACCTATTTTCCATGTTTCATTAACTTTTGTTATTATGTTATGTTTTAGTTTATCTTCATATATTTTATCATTATGTTTATCTACGTATCTAGATTTGTTATCACTTTTTTTTTCTTTATATTAATAATTTATTTGTTATTATTTTTTATTATATTATCCTTCTACTATACTATTCCTTTTTGTCATCCCATGCACTTCTATCGATCATCATATATATTTATATACACGTGTGTGTATTTTCATTTTGATTCTCTCTTTATATTACACATGTTTTAAATTAAAATATAAAAAATATAACCTTTTAGCATTATAACATAAGTATTTTCTTTTACTTGCATACCTTTACCCATCTTTCATTATTTTTTTTTTTATAATATTATCTCTTAACTTACCATTACACTTTTTATCATTCTATTTATCATTCTAAACTATGTCTACTATCATTTTTCACTTTTATATTAATAATTTATTTATTGTTATTCTTTCTCTTTTTATCTCCCTCTATATTATTCTTCTTGAATCATCCTTCTTCATCTATTTTTATATTTTTTTTACCTAATTTACCTCTTGATATCTATTAGTAGATATTTTATACTTTTCTCACTATTATAACAACATATAAATATCTTAAAATTATAAATAACTCAATAATAAATATAATAAATTTATATACATATCTATATTATAAATTTTATCTAATTTTTTTCTTTATATTAATAATTTGTTCATTATTATTCCCCCTCCTACTATTCTTGTGCAGTGGTCATACTGGTAGACCGACAAAATTAAAAACAAAATTGATATTTTTACTGAGCAAATTGAATGAAACCAACTGCTAAAGCAAAGCAAGTATATGGCATTTACTGCAATTATCGTTTTCTTCAATAAATTCTGATGCTTCGGCAATCAGCGCCATTTCATTTTCTGTTGCT